TCAAGAAGTTTTTCATTTGGATCCATCGGGATAACTATTGATTTGCACGGAAGAAAGTTATTCTTTGTCAAAAGGTCAATGACATATTTCCGTTGAGATAAACAAATGCCCTAAGATGACTGAGCAATACCAGAGAGATCCAAAGTTCTTTATCTCGAAGGAGACAACAAGAATGTCTTTGAGAGATTCCAATGTTGGTAGATCATTTCCTATAAGGACGATATCATTGACATAAACGATAAGGATAGCTACTTGGTTGTTGGAGGAATGTCGGAAGAAGAGTGTGTGGTCTGATTGAGCTTAAGAGAATCCATGGTCTACCACCACCTTTGTGAACTTCCCGAACCATGCTCGTGGTGATTGTTTTAGTCCATAGAGGGACTTTCACAATCTACATATTTGTCCCTTGGAGGTAGTGGAGAGCCTAGAGGAAGGGTCATAAACCTCATCTGTAAGATCACCGTTCAGGAATGCATTCTTGACATCAAGCTGGAATAATAGCCAATACAAATTCAATGCCAGGGATATTCTCGAATGGTGTTTCTCATCGTAGTGAACTCCGTAGGTTTATGAGTACCCTTTGGCGACCGACCGTGCCTTGTTACGTTCGAAGGGCCCATCAGATTTAAACTTGATGCTAAAAATCCATCGATATCCCATTTCTTTCTTGCTCTGAGGAAGATCAACAATATTCAAAGTATGGTTTCGTTTAAGGCATCCATCTCTTCCATGGCAACAATTTTCCAGGATGGGTTTGCTAAAGCAGCCTCAATAGTAGATGGAAGTTTATGATTTGTCAGGGCCGTAGCAAATGCTCTGTAGGTTGGCGATAATCTGCCAAAAGAAACATAGTTTGACACTGGATAAAGAGAGCATGTCTGATTGCATACCTTACTAGAGGAACTGACTTCCTCATTTTGAGTAGGAGCAGTGCTGGGGATGTCGTCCGGAAGGGATTCGGGTTTAGCAAGGGGTTAGCAAGCTCCTAAGTAGGTGCATCAGAATGAGTGTGTCGAGTGTAAGCACGGGGTGGGAGGGTGAGCAGTGGAACGAAAAGGACAGAGGGCTCTTTGGTGGTAGGAGAGGTAGGTGGAACCAAAGGAACCAATGTTTCCTCGATTGTAGATGGTATGGGGGGAACATCCATAGGAGTAGGGTAAGGAATTGTGTCCAAGAACTCTAGCTCCCCCTCACTGAAGACCGAGTTAGGAAAATAAAGAACACTTTCAGTAAAGGAGACATCAACACTCACATAGACCTTATTTGTGGTAGGGTCAAGACACCGATACCTCTTTTGACTGGCAGGATATCCTTAAAAAATATATTTTATGGACTTGAGATCAAGTTTACTTTGAGTTGGGACTGTGTTGAAAACAAAGGTTGTACACCAAAAAATTTTGGGGTCTAAAGTCGATAAGACCCGATTGTTTCGAAAACACGATCTCAAGATAGATAAAGAGATACAAAAGTGATTTTTTTAGGGAGCTCTATTGATGAGATAAGTGGTGATATGAATGACATCGTTTCAGAATAATTTTTGGACATGAAAGTGAAACATAATGGAGCGAGTAAAGTTGAGGAAATGTCGGTTTTTCTCTCGGCTACCCCATGTTGTTGAGTGTCAGGACAAGAGTTATGATAGAGGATGCTTTTACTTACCAAAAATTTTCTTAATATAGAGTTAATAAATTCATGACCATTGTTAGTCCGAAGGATTTGAATAAGAGTTTTGAATTGGGTCAAAATGAAGGTATATAAGATTTTAAAAGTAATAACAACTTCAAATTTATCTTTTAAAATATAAATTTATGTCATCCGGGTGTGGTAATTAATCAAAAGAACTATCGTTTATTGGTGTAGCTAGGGGTGCGAGAGGGTCTCATAAGTCATCGTGAATATGAGGCGGAAGGTGTGTAATTGTGGGGTGGATAATGGACATGATGATGTTTAGCTAAGTGACAGGTTTCACATTTGAAATTAGAAGAATTTTTATTAGTAAGCATCAATGAATTTAATTGCTTTAAATATTAGAAACTAGGATGACCCTAACGACCGTGTAACAACATAACAGGACATTCAGTGGACTAAGATAAACTGCATATACTGGGTGGAGTGTTCTCATTCTTCGTGTTTTTTTCTTGGAAGAAGTAGAGCTCGCCAACTTGCTTAGTAGTTCCAATCATCCTCCCCGAACAACGATCCTGAATGACAGACATCAGAAGAAAAATGAACAACACAATCAACGTCATATGTCAACTTACTGATAGATAAAATGTTACATTTCAACATATGTATATTTAACACTGATTCTAGAGTTAGATCAGTTGTTAAAAAAACAAACCCTTTACCAGCAACAATAGAATTTTGACACCTATCAACAATTTTAACATCTTTTCCAGAATAAGGATAGCATGCTGAGAAGCCTTGAGAGCTTCCAGCAATGTGGCCCGTGACACCTGAGTCAATGATCCATGAACTAGAAAAGACAAAAGAAATGAGTGTCATAGGATTGATACATTGACGAACGTGGGAGGCTGACATGCCGGAAGAGAGCATGTTGAATCCAAGGATCTTGATCGGTCGCTCCATTTGAATAGTAAAAGAATTGGAGGATTCTAGATGTTCTGGGTAGAGGTCGGTTGTATCGTGTTGGATTCAAATGCCGTAGTGAGACCCCTGACAACGGAAGATTTAGTTGAATGTTTGGATGCATGTTTCCCATGGAGCTTCAAACACTTATCATGAGTGTGGTTGGGCTTGCGGCAATAATCACACGTAGGGTGACTAGGCTGAGGTTGAGAATTATTAGAAACCAAGGCGGATGCTTCGACAGACGAAGTAGAACCACCAAGCATAACAATTCTCTGGCTCTGTTCGTGATGAATCTCAGTGAAAGCGGAATGAGTAGAAGGAAGAGCATCTCGACCAAGGATACATCCTTGGACTTAGTCAAAATCTTTGTTGAGGCCTGCCAGAAATTGGAACGTGCAGTTCTTTTCTATAATTTTTTGGAAGAGATAGGCCGGCTAGAGACTCCCACGTGTAGTCATAATATAGACCACATTCCATCTATAGTGCAGCTAGGTCATTGTAGTACTAGGTTACAACCCTGGATCCTTGTTTTGCTTCACAGATTCTCCTGGACACCTCATAGAGTTGCCTGGAGTTTCTTACATCTGAGTAGGTATCACAAACTGTTGTTCAAAGGGCACTAGTGGAAGGAAGGAACATATATGATCGACCAATCGAAGTCTTCATGGAGTTGATCAACCACGACATGACCATGAAATTCTCCACTTCTCAGGCTCCATATGTCGGGTCAGTCTTTGGAGGCTCACAAATCATACATGTGAGGTGACCAAACTTCCCATGTCCTTTGATGAACAAAGACACCGCTTGAGACTACTGGAAAAAGTTGTTGTCGTTCAGTTTATGAGTTGTGAAGAAAATTCATATTGGTTTTCGGTCCTTTGGTTAGTAGTGGAAGGAATGTTGGATTCGATCTTCCGGTGGAATCAGGAACATTGTTTGAAGGTGGCTTAGCGTTGGAGGAATCCGCCATGATTCCGACTGAGCCAAAAGAGATTTGGTTGGTATTTCGAGAAATAATGCTGGCCAACTAATTTAATGAAGGAAATCTGTCGGAAGCTGGATTACTGGAGTTTAGGGCTTGGCGGCAAATGCTGGGCAAGGAGGCTACCGACAGATTAGGAACTGCGGGTGAATGGAGCAGATGCCATATTACGGTTGAAGGGAGCATGTCATGTTGTAGTTGAAGGGAGCATATACTATGTCACGACTGAGCACAAGGAGTGCAGATACCATGCTGGGAACTGCGGCTGAAGGGATGTTATGATTGAAAGGAAACAAAAGATGTTTTGCGGCAGATATGAAAAACAGAAGATACCAATAGGTGCTGAAAGGTGGTTGCTGACAGACTAGGGTGAAAACTCTAGGGTTAAAGCCATGGCTCTAATACTATGTTAGAATGGAAACCAACATACTTCTTATTGATACAAAGAGGGGTTTATATACCCATTACGGGATCAACTATAAAGAAAAAGAATAAACTCATGATATGATAGAAAAGGGAAAGAAATGAAACAGAATATAATAGAGAAAGGAAAGAAATCAAAGGAAATAACACAGATTAATCAAAATAAATAATGGTTATTACTGGTCATTAAAATATTCTAATAATCTTTTTTTTATAAATGTCACCGCAACTTCTTGAACAACTTCGCTGCTGCTTGTTCAAACAGCTGCAGCTGCCCCTAACAGACTAATACACTGACGACTTATAAACCTGTCAATTTAGGATCAGATTCTCACTGCACTTTTGCCTTTCACTGGTGATTGGTAGATCAGATTGCCTTTTGAATTGTAATGGAGGGCAACAGCTTTCTCATTGTTCAACTTTTCTGATTAACAGTTTTTTTCCCCTTGGGCTATTATTTGTTCTGTTTGTTTTTCTGTTTGAAATACATGATTATGCTTGATTGGAAGAACTCATGATATCGGAAATTTTTCCACGGAATACTTCAATGAAAAAGCTACTGGAATCTTGGTATGATTGTAAAAGTCATCTATAAAATACTAATACAGCAAACAAACAACATTATGTGTGAGTTAAAATAGAACTATGACCTATTATTAAATGTGAATATTCTGTTTCTCTTTATTTCACTTGTGTACGTTCTCAATCTTATCCTCTCCCTCTTTCTGTACCTTAAAGTTTATGATTCTCATCAATTCTAATGCCTGAATTAGCAACAAAATATCTTGCCATGTAAACCTAAGTGTTGCCAATTCTTCCTTTCAAAATTTGTTCTGTCATTTTTTCTTGCTTATTTTAGCTTTTTCAAAGGTTGATAAAGTAGTAATTTTTTTCTATAGTTTTTTTTACACTTTTGAAAACTGATATAACTTCATTTCATTAAGAAGTTGCCCACCTTTAATGATTTGATTCACTAACCATGGTTTCATATTTATGCTGGAAGAAATGTTGAAGAACATATTTTATGAGGTGAAGAATAAATTTGATACTGCCCTTGGGATTTTTTCAAAGGAAAAGATCACAATTGATCCTGATGATTCCGCTGCAGTATCTCAGTATGCAAAAGTCATGAGGACTGTAAGAGAAAAGTAAGAGCTTTTAATCCTTCATTTAGTCAACATGTTAGCTACTTCATGCTTCACCTGCTGGGAAATGTTTTATTGTTGTGACAAAATCTTATTATTGGATAAAACTCTCTCCTAAGATGGGTACAAATTGTTCAAGATGATTGGTGAAGAATAGATTTAACACCTCTTTTAGCAGTCAATTGGAAAAGAATGATTCATGAGGATATATAATGCTGATTCCAAATACTTGGGAGGAGGATAATGAGGGTTATTAGTAGTTTATTTCTTTAATTTGCTTTGTAAAGCTTTGCTTAAGCATTGATCTATTGGTTCTGTCTAGGACACGTTCAAATAATTAGTGGACCATATTTGGTTCCTTCCTTGATTAGTTTGTCAACATTTTATCCCAATCATTGATTTTTTTTTATTTCAAGAGCAAACTTCTTCATCTCAAGTATGTAGGTGGTTGACATTTGTCTTGTCATTTTATTCCCTAGGTACCCTCTTGTTAAAATTTAAATATACAGCGCAGATATTTTACTTTCAAACTTTTGATGTTGAATTTCTTTATAATATTTTTTTTCCCCACTTGATATTAATTATTTGCAGCTTTTGTGTCATATGTCGTATAGGGCAGATTTATTTTCGGATTCTCAGAGAATAAAGTACACAATTGAACAAAGGACCCGAGATATACCAGATGCACGGACATATTTGCTGGCTTTGCAAGAGATACGTTCGAAGTATGTGATATCCATTTTTTTACTGTTCTCAATATATATATAGATATACATATATATTATATTATATTATATTATATTATATTATATGTAGTCTATAGTTTTTTGTTTTGCTTGTTGTTTTCACTATGTTGCTAAGCTAAGATCATCATACTATAAAAAAGACTTGCCAAATCTTTTAGTTTCTGGAGGTCGTTGTTTAGGATCTCTAAGAAGAGAAGCTCTAAAGGCAGGTTTTTTCTTGGATACATTATGCTCATTGATGTTTGATTGTTCCCTACTTTGGTTGTATGTTTACTTCAGAGAAAGTAACGATGTGCTTTTGATTATATGCAGGCTCTCTTTTCTAACTAATTTTGTTTGTGTCATGGAAGATTTGGTTTTATTGATTTTCATTAAATAAACGCTCTGATTTTTACATGTGCTTTAAAGCACAATTCAGAAGGCAATGTGCAAGTTTTGTTTTACTGATTCAAAGCATTAATACATATTGAACAATGTTGAAAATCTATCTATAAAATCAATATCATTCATTTTTTTAAAACAAAATTAAGTGATTGAAACAATCACGTGTTAAACCAAATTGGGGAAATGAATGGCAGATAAAAATAATGCATACAAATGCATAGGCAGCATGGACGCTTTAAGTATGCTCATATTTATTCTTTATAGACAATGACATCAGGTCACAATAAGAAAATATGGTAGTTAAAATAGTACCTAAATGCAAGAAATAGTGATGCCTGCACTAAGTGTAGCTACCCCTTTTTTGATGTAAAGTTGATTATTAGATGTATTAGAAAAGAATTTATGGCAGGCGCGAAATAATAAGACCTAATTTGGAAGAGAGAATAAATCTGCTGAACAAGTATAAGCTTCTAAAAGGACATAGTAATGTCAACTTCAATTCATATCTATGAGGAACCGAGTGTTTGATCATCTCCATACCCCGAGTGTATGGTGTGGGGGTTATTGGAAACTTATTTGTGCTTGTCGTTTTTCCAGAAAAGAGGCCATCCACTAAATTAATTGTTAATGAATGTTTAAGGCATTCTTTTTTTAGAGTTAAATGTCCTTTATTAGTTATGGACTATACCGTAACTTTGTTATCACCATCATTAATTTTTCACTCAAAGGCAATAACAAATGTCCTTGATGTATTGTGTCAGAGGCATATCTTTGAGTGTCATGCATCGCTTGATCTGATGAGATATATTCTGACCTTATAAAGTTGATACTATGATGAAAGATCATAACATATCTTCGGATAAAGAAGATACTGTGCGTGTAATTTAGTGGTATGATATCCAAAGTGGAGGTCTGAGGTTTAGTTTCTAAAAAAAATTACTTCACAAATATAGGCTTGGATGACTGCATGTTAGAGAAATCATATGTTATAAAAAACACAGAGAGAACAAATAGAGGGTAGGAAAGCAAAAAATGAGACAAATTATTGTTGTGTGGTTCCTCTATGAGCTTATATCCATCCCTAGCCTTGGGGAGTTTTCATCATTTTTGCAGCTCTATCATTTCCATCACCACTATGTATCTTAAGCACGGGGCACGTGTCTTTTATTTATTTATTTTTTTATCAATTGGACATTTCAATGGTGTGTTCAGCATGTGTCATGTCCCACCTTTTTCAGACATTGCATACTTTTGTTAAATATAGGTGTATCATATTTTAAAACTATATTTAAAGAGGTATTGCCTTCAAAGTGGAGTTTGGGGTTTTATCTCTGAAAGAAACCAAAACACTTTGAAATAATATTTTTCAATAGCATGTGTTTGGTTGAATGCATGTTAGAGACTAGATTATACATTATCTACAACGCAGAAGTGACAATAAATAGAGGGTTGGGTAACAAAAATGGGAAACAAAAAATTATAGTTATGCAGCACCTCTCTAAACTTTTATCAATACCCCAAGTCCCTCGTGAATTTCCGTCTTCTTCTACTTCTTTGTTGGTAAGGTACCAACATATTCACAACGTTTCATTTTCCCTGTTGAAGTTCACGAATGAGATAGTTTCTGCACTTGCTTAAGATCATCCATATTTTAATCCTTTTCACATTCTAGGGAGGCCCTCACAATTCTTTTAGAGTTTAAAGGCTGAATCATAAAATGTATCAGTCAATTGGTGAAAGTGCCTGATAAGCTTAGCAAAGACTTAATTGAAGATAAATGAGAGTAAAAACAACGCACTAAATTAGGATGCCAAAAGACTATGATGAGCTAGTTGAGTGTGGTGGCAGAATTTTAAGATGGATGTGGCCAAACTAAGAAGAATAAATTTGGAATGATTTAAATCCATTAATCGATAAGCAAGTTGAAATTAGATTTAGTTGGTCGGGTAGTAAGATGAAGGATAGAAAATGAACTTATTAGATAATTAAATAATATTAATGTTAAAGGTTTATGATGTAAGTGAATTTAATGTAAATCAATAAAATGATTTGCAAAAAGTAGGTTTAACATTTCCAACAGCACTCAATAGCAAGAACGAGGATTCATAATGCAGCCCTAAATAATGGGATAAGTCAACAGTGATAATGTTGATTAGCCTGCAAAATTGGCTAACCAAATTAGTTGGAGAATGGATTGAAAGCTTTAGCTTATTTTAAGCAGGTTTACTTGTTGATCTGGGTTTTAAAAACGGTTGTCAGATTGACAGTAATTTCCAGAAGGCTTTGTCGTACTGGTTTTTGGTCTTTTTCAACGCCAAGTTGGCCAGCCAACATGGCTAAGACATGATAAAGATAATTGGATGGTTTGTATTGCTGACTTCGTCATAGATTGTTTTTTTTAATGCAATTGAACATATTAATTAACTATAATCAATTGTGAGAATTTGTCAAGGTTTAGCCAGTTGAAATTAGACTTAATTAATTTGATATACACATTAAAGGGTAGAAAATGCCCACTTTAGATGAACATAAAAGTAGTGTCAAAAGGATTATAATGGAAAAGTGAGACATAATGTAACATGACAAAATGATTTGCAAGAATTGTTTGACTTCTCCAATCACGTAGTAGCAAGGATGAGGTTTCAAAATGCAACAAGGCTTAATGGCTAATCAAATTTGCTGGAAAATGGATTGAAAACAGTGGCTAGTTTCAAACAGGTTTACTGGTTAATTTTGGCTTTAATCTGGCTGTTCAAATTGATGTTAACTTTTAGAAAGCCTAGTTTTGTTGATTTTTGGTAGTATAAAGTCGGCTAACCAACATGTTTAAGTAGGATAGAGATAAATGGATGGTCTGTGTTGCTGAATTTTACACAGATAGTTTTTAATTGCGCAATTGAACAAATTAATTGACTTCGAACAATTGTGAGAAAATTTGTATATGTTTTGACAAAAATAAGAAGTTTTGATGTGATTTTAAGTGATTCTCAAAATGAATGGACTAGGAGTTGATTTGAAGCTCTTTTTGCTTGACATATACCTAAAGGTGTAAATAAAATGCTAGAAATAGCAAAACAGTAAAGCTTGAAGCTTTTAATCTTTCCTCCACGTCTGTGGATCTATTATAGACTGTGCAAGGGGTGTGTTCATTCAGGCTCCAATCAAACACTCATTTGGTAAAAGTCTGCATGTTTATTCTCATCAGAAGCATTGCATCAAAGGATGGTCTGAGATAATTTTTTTCGCTTTATTCTTTGATAAATATGATTTATTTCATTTTGTAGTTTTTAATTTGTTTGGAACATGCCTTTGATGATGACTGTATTACGAATGTGTTTTTTTTTTCTTTAACTGACATTGATGTTGGTTCAATATAGTTTCTTATGCTGTTTTTGGCTGGCGTACTATTGATATCAATTGCTACGTAATTCATTGTGGTATGGATGGAGTGGGTTTTTTAAAAGGTTAGTCATGTCTGATTTCAGGCCAGAGTCATGTCTGCTCAGTTACTGTGTTGGGCCTTGAAGTTGATAGGATTTCCATGAAGCTGTTATGCAGCTCTTATCAAGATTGTGCGTACCATTCAATTGCATTTTCTATGCAGAATTATTAGTCTACTTTCAATTCAAAACCACCATTTCTGGGATCATTGTTCCTATTTTCTAGCTATTTTGTGGTTGTGTTGGATTGACTTGGGTTTAAACCATTTGAATACTCTTTCTAGTATTTGGCTGGCTTAAACCCAATTGGTCTACTCGGCGAGAGGATTCAATCCTCTCTTATTATGGCTCGAATGCTCTAGTTTTTTGCTCAAATACTTGGGTGTTGATAACATGAATCTAGGACAATGTGTAATTCTGCACCACGTGGGTGACATTTGGCATCCTTGTCTTCCACTGCCATCAAGAGCTCATGAAATTTAACTTTCTGGACAATGCCTGAGGTGCTTGCCAGGGATGCATAGGTGCACAACTACCAGTCATGTTTTATAACCGCTCTCGGCAATGCGATGAAATTCTTCTAGCCATTATGCTAAATTGTTTTTAAATATTTGGAATATTTGAATTTTAAAAAGTGTCATTGATAAGTTTATAGTTTTTCTTTTGCTGAAGTACTTTTTTGTTTAATGCAGTATTCTAGTAGTTCTATTATATGCAGTATTCAAGCAATTTTATTATTTCCAATATGCTAGTAATTGTATTTTTAGTATTTTTATTGATTAGATGTGAGTAATTTCAATGCAGTATTTTTAGTATTTTTATTGATTAGATGTGATAAAATTTTAAGTATGTTTAATGTTTTTTTTTGAACGCCTGTTGGAATTAATTGAAAAACTCAATAAATGAAAAAAATAATGTTCTCAAACTTTAGGCAATACTCATAAAACATTTTACTTGCATGGAGGAGTGGAACCCCCACGCCTAAAAAATAATAGTTTGCTTGAGTTTATTTTTCAGTGAAAACCAACTGCATAAGAAAGTTTGAGGGGTGAACAAATTTTTAGTGTCTATTATTATGAATAGCCTAGCTCTATTAGCCCTAGAGCAACATTTTATTGAAGGTTTGTGGAGCTTTTTTTGGGGGAATATTTTATGAAGAATTCACCATCATATGGTTTTGAATTTGTGCCCTTATGAAGAAGAGCAAAATCCTCAATCACTAGGGCAATCAAGTGGCCGAATGGTTTGTGGAGCTCGATCACTTTTATATGTTCATTTCTTGATGGCATAGATCTAAAAAAAGACATTTGAGGGGCTAGGATTCCTATTTATTAAATTTAGGTTTAAAATTTTTTTTCAGATTGTCTTCTAATCAATTGATTAAAATGAATGGTGATAAGTTGATCGTTGAATAAATTGGGCAGTTCAACCAATTTATAACTGATTTATTGGTTTGACTATTAGATCGTCGGTTCAAACCAATATTTTTGCTGTGAATAGAACTGATTGGGAACAATCCACAGTTGTAGGCCCAGGCAGCCAATTTGATCGTAATTTCTAAACCATAATTTAAATTGTATTACTTAGTATATTTTGTCATATTAAGTTCTATATTTTTATGCATACACATCCAAATGTGGTTTTGTTTATTTTACCGTACTCCTTAAACTGAGAGTTCACCCATATTTCTTGGTTCTGACTCAGACCAAGCATAAATAACTGATTATTTTGGTTAGCTGGTTCATCCATTGTTTTTGGTGCAATTAGTTGTTGAAGAGGAAATCTTTTACCTCTATAGTCCCACCTAATGTAATATACATTAAAAATGGTCATATATGTTGTTTAAAGATACTCTTATCATGGTGGTTTTTTACTTCGGGGTTTTATCTTTGCAAGTATTTTGAATTCTAAAGTAACTCTAAATGCAATTAACTCAAAATAATGTATTTGAAATACTTGTTGGTTTTTGTTTTTTTGTAAACATATTTAGAAGTTTACTTTCTATGTTTAGTAGCTTGTAAAGTATTTCAATTAATTGCGGCAAAGGCAAGAGGCAACAAACGCTGGTGGAGGATGATTGGAGTCAACGATTTTGGTGCTGGCAATGGAGGTGGTGGCTAGTGGAACTGCTTGAGAGAGGTCGTTCGAGCTTGAATTTGTTTATCAAAAGCATGTTCAAGATATGCTTGAGCTAGATTTGTGCATTTGTGATAGTGTTTGAGCCCGGTTCATTTAAATTTATATTCTTTTGAGTTTTGTTTGAGCTATGCTTGAGCTTAATTCATTTTGTAATTAATCAGCTTTAAAAGAGCATCTTGCTTGAAAATAAAAATGAGTCTTGTCAAGCTTAAGCCTATTGAGGTTAATGAACAAATCTTATAAGCTTAAAAAGCAATTTTAATATTAATAAGCTTAGAAATTTAAAAAAGCATTTATAACATATAAACATATTGTAAAATATTTAAATGTTGTGGGATTTAATGCCCAAATAAAAGAGGACGTTCTAGCATCTAGTCTTGCCTCAATTGACCTGTATATCGAGCTTTTAAACAATCATATTTAGGTGTAATAATCAATTTTGTTTATGATCATAAATGAAATCGAGCAATAAGTTATTCAAGCTTGTTCATTTAACAATTGAGCATTTCTAAAAGTGTTAATGAGCTCTTATTGAGTTGAGCCATGAATAATTTGTCTAATACTCAGCTCTTTTGCAACCCTAGCTGCAGCGGCGAGGGTGGGCGGCAATTTTTACGGCAGGGGTCACACCTCACACATGCGGTGTATTTGAAATTTGTTCAAATCAGGAAAATTCCAAATATATTGAAAATAACTCAAAAGAATTAAAAAAAATGTTGAAAATTTACATTGCATTTATTTTATGTATTGGCCAAACAATGAAAATTTTAAAACTCATGTATTGCTTTTGACAAAATTAATAATACTTGCATACAAACAGCCCCTTACAATATTTTATTATTTCAATAAAATTTCTTTTGCCTAGCAGGATTATCTTGTGTTTACAAGCTTTACTTGGTTAGGTGTTCTGAAGAAGTTTTTGGCTTGAAGGCAAATCAAGATTCTTATACATACCGTTAGTATTGTAGGATTCAGTGCTTGAAAAGATGGATAAGTGGGTAGGTTTAATGGTTAGGGCAGGGAAAAATGCTGGTTGAACTAAAATGCCAAAACCAATTAAAATCCACTGATTGATTTGGTTTGTTTACTTTGATGTTCATCTAATTTTGGCTTTGAAGGTGTCTTCTTATTTGATCCTTGTTCTTGTGATTTAATAATTTTTATGCAATCGCCCCATGTAGATTCAGTCTAGTATAATACCTTCTGTTGAGAATTTTAAGCCTTTAAACCAATCTTTTTAGGCCTTTTTTTTCTTATAGATACTATTTCTCGTAATTTTAACCTTTTTATGGTCTTTAGGAGTGATCTCGTTGATGAAGTGGGTGCTGAGGCAATGATGATGGAAGCATTGGATAAGGTTGAAAATGAGATTAAGAAGCCTCTTCTAAGGTCTGACAAAAAGAACATGGCTCTTCTCCAAGCAGAGTTTGACAAAGTGAACAAAAAGTATGGGTTACCAATTCGACATTAAACCATGTCATCATTTGCATTTATGCTACTTTATTCTTGCATATAATTTTATTTTTAGTTCTTTTCTATTTTAAATCCGAAATAAACATTTGTTTTTCTCCTAGACATATGGGATGCCTTTATCTACATTGCTTGAATTTAACTATTCATGGAACCACCTTACAATCTTATTGGAAACTGTTTCTTTTAACAGCATTATGCCAAATACTTTCATTGTTACCAGCAAAAGTTTCATAAATCAAGCTTGTTGTTCATCATATGTTTACAATAATAATTTAATACGGCTGCAGGTTAATATAATGTATCTTTTGTTATTCATGTCTCCAACGTCATTTGCACATTTGTGCTAGCCATTAGATTTTACCATACTTTAATTAAACACAGCTTAATCTTTGCATTCTTCTGGTTGACAACAAGCATGACGTAAATGAAATCTATCCTCTTTTGTCTCTTTTACTGAATACTTCTCCAGGCTTGGGATTAGAAAGGAAGATCTACCTAAATATGAGGCAGACCTGGAACTCAAGATTGCCAAAGCGGAATTGCAAGAAATAAAGAAGGATGCAGTAGAGGCAATGGAAACCCAGTTAAAGAGGTTTGTGAATTTTAAACATTTTAATTAATCCTTTTAGGTGCTCATTTTCTGTTTTAATCACATGATTGTTAGTTTTGAGAATTTTTAAATTTGTTTTTTTTTCTTCTATCTCAGTTAGCAGTAATAGCGTTGCATCTGCTATGTCATTAGGACAATGTCTTTGCCATCTTTAATGCCAAATTGGGCCTGATTATTGTTGTGTTTAGTTTCTTCTGTATGGAATATTTATAGGCATGGTGAGGAATAATCATGTCCATTTTCTTAAATGTAATTTTTGGATGATTTTCCTGAGAAGGGGAAATAAGTCAACAATTCTATTGGACATCTGAATTCACAAAAAATAGAAGAGACATGTATCGTAGACACTGCAAATTTGATGTCATCATCTTCATTCTTACTCTTATTGAGTTTATGAGTTCTCTTGTTCGATTCATTTTGTTGAGTGTTACCTGGGATACAATACTTAATTTTTATAAATAATTTTTAACAACTTCTATTCATGTTACTGTGAGTTTACCACTTCTTCCTAATTCTTCAACTCTAATTTTATATATCTGTCTGATAGGTGTATTTTTTATTCTTCATTATTCATTTACATTTATTTCCATATATTTATTTTCAATAGTTCTCACTCTAAGAGATCATATAATATAATTCATCCTCAATTTTGTCACAGTTATAGCTTAATATTTTCACTTCTGTCTGTTTTAAGTTTGCTATTACTGACCTTTGTAATTGCCTAATACTCAAATTCATATCTTGCCTTCTTATTTTTAGTTTTATAAACTTTACCTTTTAAGTATAATATCCTCTTATCATTTGATGCTCTTGAAGCAATTTCTATTTTAATTACCCAGCTTCTACTCTAAATTTAATAATCTTATTTAAATACTTTTTTTACTAATACCCATCAATCTTAAAACTATTGTACTCAGTTTTCACCTTTTTTTACCATGTATAACCAATTTGATTGATAATTGTTTATTTCACACTACTAAAAGTGCATATTATATACTTGCATTACTAATTTTATGCCTTCTGCTTCTTAAACACTATTTTTATTTCCTTAAACACACCAATTTGCCTCATTTTGAATATATTTTTTGATACAAAAGTAAATAGGGTTGATACTGTTCTTGAACGTATTCTATTGTATTTAGAATTCTTTTTATCATTATATAATTGTTAGTACCAGTCAATGTTCCAGCATTATATCCTTAGTAATTTAACATACATTTAACTCGCACTTTTTATCCTTAATGCACACTTCAAATAACTTGTCGTGCTCTATTATATCCCTTCTCATTATCAATATGAAATCTTATGAAGATTCTTTTCTTCTCTTTCTACTTTTCTAGTAATTGTTTTAATATTCATAATATATTTTTAGCATGCAATCATATTAATCTTCTAAAATTAGTGTAATTTTAGCAGATTTATATTCCATCACGCTCTTTCATTCTTTATTATATATTTATATGAAAACTATGAGCATTTCTTTTGCCTGTAAACATTGGCATCCTCTCTGTTAACTAATTGTTACGTTATTTTTTATGACTATAAATCTCAATTAGTGTTTCATTTAGATCTATAACTTCAGCTTTACAGCTTTTTTAGAGCTCCACTCAATTTTTTTGGATATGTTTTGTTCATTATGCTCTTTCAAAATAATTCATTTCTTAAAACTCTCATTTAATTATTTGTATTTTCATTTTTCTGAGATGCTTTCTTCTTTAACCAAAATTTTATTATTCTTACTCTTTGCATCTAACTTGGTTGAAGTTTCTAGGTCTTTTATATCTAATTGCCATTGTCCTTCTATGTATCTTCTTTGTTATTTTTAGTGCCAAGTCTATTATATAAATTTTAGAAAGATATAGGTTTAGTTGTGCTCACTACATTCTCTATGAGATGTGCAATTTTAATATCATTATAAGTTTCATTAGTATTTTTTTTCACTCTTTAAAGTACATTTTCTTTTTTCAGTAAAATTTTTACATCCTCAATCCACAGTCAATTTAGTGGTATCTGTTTAATTTGTATCTCTCAGTAAGCTTATCGCCTTTTAAATTCTATCACTTTATATCAAGAAAATTAAATTTTGGAGTATTTACATACAGACCGTCCAGTTACTCTGTATTTATATATCAAACACCAAATCTTTACTTTTACATTAATATAACCAAAATCTTTCAAATCACAAAAAAAAAACCACCATTTTTTACTTTTAAATAATGAAATATACCTTTTCCTGCATGGGTAAGATGTCATGTATGCATAAATTGAAGTTTAGGTGGTAGATATGTAAATACATAAGAATTGAGTGGCATGCATGTAAATTTTAGACTTTATATTGGTATCTTTGTACTTCTAAAATACACATTCGTAACTGCTATATATTGTGGAATTCCAACTCATGAAGTCACCATAAATAAATAATAATAATAATAATAATAATAATAATAATAATAATAATAAAACTCATGAAGTCACTATAATTCTTTGTAAAATGACCACTGTTTCTATTTATGATTTAGTTAGTCCACCACTGTATGTAATTTATTTTTCCCGTTTCTTGAACTATGTATTTATTATTGTAATATCATAAACAACTACTAACAAAGTATACCTTCGGATTGAATTTCTATATTTCTTTTCTTATTCATATTGTGGATCGCAGAGCCTATTTTACTAGGACATGTGCCTATTTAGTCATATGCATTGAATATCCTTTTTTCCCCTAATTTTTATATTGTAATTCTTTATCTTTCTCTCATAAATTGATTTTTAAAAAAAATTTTACTGTATAAAATAGCCATAGTTATATTAGCCTCATTGATTAATATTTTAAAGATTAATCTTATTACCGTCCATATTTTCTTTGACAATTTTATTTTTTAAATTTCTATCACTACCCCAATGTTAATCTTGCGAAGACACAATAGCTTTTCTCTATTTTTCTTAATATTTTTCACAAACAATGTTTATTCATGTTTTAATCATTCTATACGTCAATTGTTTTTTCTTCTCATTAAAAATTCCTAAATTTCATATAATAAAAATATTAGAGTATAATGACTATTCCTATGCCATTATTACTTATTTTTTTATTTTATTCCCTGATTATGTATTTCCCCTTTTTTCTTTATTTTGTTTTTATTTCCTTCATAGTTATTTTATTCTATTTTTATTACTTTCCATTTTTATGTCTATTATTATTGAGTTTAAATACCCCACCTCCTATCAATAAAATTGAGCTGGTCTATTCCAAATTTTAACATGGTATCAGAGCCAAACCTAGATCCAGCAGCTCATGACCTGTTCTATCAGTTCCAGCAGCTGCTGCTGCCTCCACCTGATTTCCTTTCCCTGCAGAAATCCCGTGAGAAACCTCCAGTGTGAAAGCAGTATTTTTTCTGTCTCCCGTGAGAAACCATCAGTGTTGGGAATCCTATTGTGAATCCAAGGAGCTTTCCTAGCCGTGAGAACCTCTAGCGCTTTTGAGATTCCAATCATCCCAGCCGGCTTCCAATTCCCTGTTCCAGTGAGATTCCAGTTCTCGTGGGAAGCCAAGGAGCTTTCCCAGTCATTGTCTTCTACTTGCAGCAGGGCAGATTGTTCCTGTCCGCAAAATTTCTCCTCTGTCGCTCCTCCCGCAGGCTCTTGTTTGTCAGATACCTCCGCTTTTCTGCAGAAAGAATTCCTACAGCCGTATCCATTTGTTGTGATTCTAAAAAAATTCGATGGCTTAGAACTACAAGAAAATATCCTTTGGCTCAGTCGAATTTATGACTGATTCTTTCAATGAATCACCCTTAGAAGGCGTTCTTGACTCCACCGGAGGATTGACTCCAACCTTCACTTTCTTGCAGACCGGAGGACTGGATGTCAATATGAATTTCTTAATCTCATCTCATAAATTGAATAACAGTAACTTCCTCCAATGATTCTAAGTGGAATCGTTATTCATGAAAGGATATAGGAAGTTTGGTCATCTCACAGGTATGATTCATGAGCCTCCAAAGACTGACCCGTCATATGAAGATTGGGAAGTGGAGAACTCCATGGTCATGTCTTGGCTGATCAACTCCATGGAGACTCCAATTGGTCGTTCATGCATGTTCCTTTAGCTAGTGATGTTTAGACGGTTGTCCGTGATATCTGCTAAGATGTAGGAAATTTTGGCCAACTCTATGAGGTATTTAAGAAGACCTGGGAGGCAAAACAGTAGTTAAGGACCGTGACCCAGTATTATAATGACCTGGTTGCATAATGGATAAAATTCGACTTGTACTACGACTATACTTCTCCGACCAACTTATCCCTCTTCTAGAATATCGTAGAAAATGATCGTATGTTCTAATTCCTTGTTGGTCTTAACGAAGACTTGATGAAGTCCGGGGTTGTATTCTTGATCGGGACCCTCTTTCTTCCACTTGAGCTGCTTTTACATTTATCGGGAAGAAAGTAGAAGGCTTCTCATGTTCGACACTTCTACTTCTTCAACTGAGTTGTCCACCTTAACCTCAAATATTGGTCAGCCCTCTTCCATACCACCTCGGAACGGTCACCCCACTTGTGAATACTGTCACAAACCCAACCCAACCACACTCGAGATAAGTGTTGGAAATTTCACAGTAAGACAATATACAAACCTTTAGCCAAATCCTTTGTTGTCAAGGGACTCATGACAACAATCGGACATGACACGGCTCAACTGACTTCTTCCTAGAACATTCCAGATTCCTCTGAATCCCTAAAGAGTCAGATGGAGCAATTGATCAAGTTTTTTGGAGCCAATAAGTCTCTGCGGATCTATCGATCTTCCATGTCTGATAAGGTATCCTTCCTATGAATTATTGATTCAAGTGTCATGAATCACATGACTCGCTGCTCACAAACTTCCTCGATTTACTACCCATGTTCTGGAAAGAATACCATCATAATTGTCAATGGATCTTGTAGCTCCATTACTGGTAAAGGGTTGATTCTACTAATGACTGATTTAACTCTGGAGTCTGTTTTACATATTTCTCGATTGCAATGTAACTTATTATCAGCCAACAAGTTGACAAATGATATTGATTACGTCGTTAGTTTCTCTTTTGATAGTTGTGTTTTTTAGGATTGTCGTTCAGGAAGGATTATTGGAATTGTTAGGTGGGTGGCTGGACTCTACTACTTCCAAGAGGACAACACGGAGAGTGAAAACATGATACTCAAAAGTTGCAGCGTATCTCGAGCCATTGAATATCCCATTATGTTATTATATTTTCGTTTAGGTCAACTTAGCTTTCAATATTTGAAAACTTTGTATCCTCTGATGTTTTCTAATAAAAATCTTTATAATTTCATTTGTGAGACTTTTCAGTTAGCTAAACATCCCTTTACGTACCTCACTCATACACACCTTCCGCTTCTTTCTCCCTTATTCACAGTGACATATGGAGACTTTTTTTCACTCCGAGCTACACCAATAAACGGTGGTTCTTGACCTTAATTCATGACAACTCTCGAATGACGCAGTTCTACATTTTGAAAGACAAATCGGAAGTCGTTGTGACCATCCAAAACTTCTACACCTTTGTCTTAACTCAATTCAAAACTTATAATCAGATCCTTCAGACTGACAATGACCGTGAGTTTTTCAATTCTGTTTTGAGTGAATTCTTGGTAAGTAAAGACATCTCCACCATATCTCTTGCACGGGCACTCTTCAACAAAATGGGATAACCGAGAGAAAAAATATCACCTCCTCGACGTTGCTCGCTCTATTATGTTTCCATCCAATATCTTGAAACATTTTTGAAACGATGTCATTCTAACTACCACCTATCTTATAAATAGAATCCCGTCCAAAATGCACAAGTTCTGATCCTCCTTAGCTGTTATGATGTCATGTTTTTCTGCCAATATGATTTTCTCCACATTAGACCCCAAGATTTTTGGATACAATGCCCCCAATCGGAGTAAACTTAATCATAGATCCATAAAATGTATCTTTCTTGGGTACTTCACCGCTCAAAAGGGTTTTAGTGCCTTGATTCTACTACTAACAAAATCTATGTGAGTGCTGATGTCTTTTTCTTTGAAAGGGTTCCTTACTTTTCTAGCTCGGCCCCAAGTGAGGGAGTCACTATCACTTATTCTACTCTTATGGATTGTCCTCTCATTGTTCCCACTACTGAAGAGTCCACTGTCCCGTTCAGTGCTCCATCATCTCCTCCTACTGTCCGTGTGTACACTCGACACACCTGTCCCAATGCTCCAACTTAGGAGTCCGCTACTGTCTTACAGGATATTGACTCCACTCTGGGCGACATTCTCAGCACAACCCCTCCTCCGAATGAGGAGATGAGCTCTTTAAGTAAGGTCTGCAATCAGACGTGCTTCCTCTATTTTATGAAAAAAAATGTGTCTTTTCACAGTGTATCGCTGACGTACAAAGTATTTGCTACTGCTCTGACGGACCATCAAATCCCTGCTACTTTTGAGGTTGCTCTTGTTGATCCAGCATGGAAAACGACAATAATGGAGAAGATGAGTGCCCTTCAGCAGAATCATATGTGGGACATCGTGGACCCTCCTCGGGGTAAGACAACTGTAGGGTGTCGATGGAGTTTTAGCACCAAGTTCAACTCTGACGGGTTCTTTGAACGCAATAAGACAAAATTGGTCGCCAAAGGATATTTACAGATCTACTGAGTTGACTATGAAGAGATATTTGCTCTAGTTGCTAAGTTCAACACTATTTGGGTCCTGTTGTCACTTGCAGTGAATATGAATTGGTCTTTATTCTAACTACATGTCAAAAGTACATTCTTAAATGGTGAGCTGATAGAAGACGTGTACATGTCTCTCCCTCCGAGTTTTGATTCTATTGCCTACAATGGACAAGTATGCAGGTTACGAAAGTCCCTTTATGGACCAAAGTAGTCCCTAAGGGCCTAGTTTGACAAGTTCTTAAAGGTGGTTGTGGGCCATGATTTTACTCAGGCTCAATCGGATCACAATCTCTTCTTTTGACATTCCTTCAATGGCCATGTAGCTATCTTTATTGTCTATGTTGACACTATTGTTTTATAAGTAATGATCTCCCAACACTGGAGTCCTTGAAAGACACTCTCGAAATCCTTTAAAATGAAGGATTTCAGATCTCTCTTGTACTTTTTAGGCATGAATGTGGCTTGGTCATCTTGAGCCTATTTCAACGCAAATATGTGATTAACCTCTTGAAAAAGAACAACCTTCTTCTGTGCAAACCAGTGGTTGTCTCTATGGATCTGAATGAAAAAATATCTGACATTCCTATGACTGTGTTTGTCAATAAGACTCACTATCAACGCCTTTGGGGAAATTCATCTACATTGCCCATACTCGCCCCTACGTATGTCGCGCGGTTGATATAGTGAGTCAATTCATGCATCATCCCTATGAGCACCACCTCCAAGCTGTCCACTAAATTCTTCATTACTTAAAAGATACACCAAGCTTATGTATTTTTTTTCCTGTCACACCCGAGTCTATTGTTGTGTACACAGATGCTGATTGGGTTGGATCAGTTCATGATCGGCATTCCACATCGCGGTATTATTCATTTGTATGGGGCAATCTTGTCAAGTGGAAAAGCAAAAAATAGTCAGTGATTGCCCGAAGCAGTGTTGAAACTGAATTTTGTTCCATGTCCTTAGGAATCTGTGAAGCTCTCGGGTTACGCATCTTGCTCCGTGAACTCCGTATGCCAATATCTGTTCCACCGCAACTATTCTGTGATAATAAGACCATAATCAGCATTGCTTATAACCCAGTCCTGCATGATCATACCAACCACGTGGAGATCGATAGACACTTCAACTTGAGTGGGAGCATTAGATCATCATCAAGGAAAAGATTGAGTGGGGATATTTGTGTTCTATATGTGTCATCCAATGGTCAACTAGCGAGCATCCTCACCAAGATTTTGTCTCGCCTTTTGTTCGATGACTTCAAATCCAAGTAAAACTTGATTTACATCTACGCCTCAACTTGAGGGGGAGTATTAGATTATAACAGCTATCCCTATGTCATTATTACTTATTATTTGATTTTAATCCCTGATTATGTATTTCTCTTTTTGATTTATTTTATTTTTATTTATTTCCTAGTTATTTTATTTTGTTTTTATTGCTTTTTTTAATTATGCCTAATGTAAATACCCTACCTCCTATCAATGAAATTGAGCTAGTGTATTCTAAATCCTAAAAAAAAATATAATCATACATTTAGATCTAATCATAAACAACAACAAACAAAATATACTTTCGGACCAAATTTCTATTTTTTTTCATTCATATTGTGAACCGCAGAGCCTATTTTACTAGGACATATACCTACTTAGTCATGCATTGAATATCTTTTTTTATTACTTTATATATTGTAATAGTTTATCATCTCTCATAAAATTGATTTTTAAACTATTTTTTGCAGTATAAAGTAGCCATATTTATATTAGCCTCATTTATTAATATTTCAATAAGATTCATCTTATTACTGTCCATATTTTCTTTGATAATTTTATTTTTTAAATGTCTACCTATCACTACCCCCATTTAACCTTGCCAAGATACAATAACTTTTATCTAATATTCTTGATATTTTTCTCAAGCAATATTTATTCATGTTGAAATTAATCTATACACCAATTGTTCTTTCTTCTCATTCAAAATCTCTAAATATCAAGATTTAATAATCTTATCATATATTTAGATCTACATAAGGCTTGTTTCTTCTCATCATAGTTGGGTTAAGGTGTGGCACATCCCTTAGCTGTGACATCTTAGCCAACCATTACCTATTTTTCACTGCAATCAGTTTAAATTATAGGATGTCACTTAGAGGTGATGTACCAAGTAAACTCTTACCATAATCGGGTTAGATCACAGTCATAGCTTATAGGGGGAGCACCCAAACCAAAATGATTTTTGTTCATTAATTATGACATGAATTTAACAAATATCAACCTTGAACCATTCTCGTAACAGGCTTGAGGCATTTGGTGCAGGGTTTTATATCAAACTTTGAAGAATAACTGACTGATGCAGTATACTTTAAATATGGTAAAACAAACTGTTACAGTTTTCGCGAACTCAGGTTTACTTAATGTTTTCGTATGCTTCATATCTCTGCTTCATAAATCCAAATACCTTGTTGATTTAAACATATATATATCAAAGATGCTTTAAACTAACCAATTGTTTTTTCATCAAAATTTCTCATTGGCATTTGAATTTCGCCGGGCATACGAACACGATCATGCATCATGTCTTTTTCACACTGCAAACTTTTCAGAATATATATCTAATGAAATGTACATTTTTTTTTTTTTTGGTTTGTTCAGGGCAGAATTTAAGGACGAGAAGATGCCTGATGTTAGATCATTGGATATCAGAAACTTCCTCTGAAGAATTGAGTTTACCTAAATTTTTGCATGTTGCCATGAACGTGGTTCTCTTTGCTGCATCAACGTCTCTCACCTTGTCTCTTGAACAGCAGGCACGGATTTTAATGTTTCTGGTCAAATTCCTGAAAATAATGTGTCCAAACAAATGTTTCTAATACAATGTTTGTGTGAAACATTTCTCACTTGTTGAGTCTATTATACAGTTCTACAGAGGGAAAATTTAATTGAATCTTGGAGACTGCCAAAAGGTTCTAAAATTATCGCCGAGATTAGTCAAAACTTTTGTCCTTCCATTTTATTCCTTTGGTTTGATGTTTGCCAATGATTTTCATCATTTTTAGCTTTGCTCGTAAGCTTTGGGAATGCATGATTTTAAGGCAGAGTAGGTAAAATATGTAAGATATTTGAATAAAATTCCATGGTTGTTTTAATACCTTTCTGATTCTCCACTGAATTAGGAATGTGAAGATCGACAACTATGAATTGGTGATAAAGTGGATGCAGTTCATTAACATGAGAGTCCTTCCTAATTTTGTGTCATTTACAGTTGATTACATCTAAGAAGATGATTCTGTCATACATTTGGTCGTGGCCTCAAAATTTTTTTTGATTGTTTAGAGTTATGCTATGCGGGCATGACGGATGCATTCGGAGTTCAATGGTGGGGAGTCATGTGTCACGTGTGCCTCATAAATTTTAACACTGACTAATCTCAATATATTGCGGCGGGCCCACTTAACACGTGATGCCCGGATGTAAATTGCGTCCGGAATCTGGTTGTAATATTTGCTCGTCGATGTGATGTTGAACGAATGATTAAAGCATATCATGCCTCTCTGTGGAAGAAAGGTATTGTGTTCGAATTCACGATAATACCACCAATCTGTAATTATAATATCCATACATAATATTTTCTCCTATTATGTTGCGCCATATCATTCTACCCCTTTGAAAGATTCAATTGTTCCTAGATGGCTATTCTTCCAACATCAAAATTGAGGGGTAGCATGGTAACGCATTTTATTTTATTTGAAACATTTTGTGTCCTCACCTCATTTTCAAATAAATATATATTTAATACATTTGCATCCAATAATGTTTCTTGTGTGAAAAAAAAAAAAAAAAAACATTTTGGAGGTTGTTCTGCAGCATGTTCCTGTGCTGCAATCAATACATATTTGCACGAGATGCTCATCATATTAAATTTTTGTACAGTTAGGGGGCCTGTTTGGGGCAGCTTAATAGGTGCATTGAGTTTTGAAAACACCTCTCGAAGCTTTTGGAAAATGCGTGGAGGCGGATTATCGTAATAAGCTTTAAAAATTATTGTTAACATTATCATTAAGTACTTTAAAAAAAAAAATAATAATTTCAGTATTTACTACAATGATGAGTTTATTTTTTATAAAAAAAAAATAATTTCAGTATTTACTACAATGATGAGTTTATTAGAAAACCATTGTTGTATTGTGTTCCTAAGAGATTGTAATGGTGATTGGGTGAGAGCATTATTGAATGAGATAAGTGAATTAAATAATAATAATAATAATAAATTCTGTTGCATATTTATCATTACTGATTGTGATATTTTTAACAGAAATTTTTATGAAGGAAAAGTTAGGCAAAGATCAAGAATTTTACATGTAGTTCATTTGACTGTTCAACGACAAGAAACCCGAGAGATAAAGATACATTTTTCAGAAATAGAGTGAAGATCAAGTCCACCCCAAGGATTAGTGGAAGTGATATATTGCAGTTAATCAGTGAAGTGCCAAAGATCAATGAGAGAACATAATTAGCCTCAAGTCATCTTGTAGATTATTGTGTTACACATAATTGGATGAAACAAACTATTTTTTGGTATCTTCCACACTGGAAAACCAATCCGTGTAGGCATTATCTGGATGTTATTCATATTGAATTTTTTTTTTTATAATATATTTAACACTATTCTTGATATCAAGAGAAAAACAAAGGACAATGTCAAAGCAAGAATGAAAATTAAAGAGTATTGCAAGAGGAGGGGGTTAGAACTACAAGAGATAAATGTAGGTAAAGTAATAAGCCCAAAGTAACATATTGTCTCACATCAGATCAATGCAAAGCAATATTTGAGTGGTTGCATTCCTTGAAGTTTCCAAGTGGTTGTGCCTTTAACATAGACCGATGTGTTGATTTGGGTAACGGGGAAAGTATTTGACATGAAGAGTCACGATTGTCATATTTTCATGCAGTGTTTATTATCAATTGTATTAAATTCTTTGTTAAAGTCGATGCTAGATCCATTGATCAAACTCAGTTCATTCTTCAAAGAGTTGCGCGCAGGCACTTTGGATGTTCATTCTTTGTGAAGTTTTGATGCAAGTATTCCATTAGTGTTATGTAAGTTTGAACAGATTTTTCCTCCCTGCGTTTTTTACTCTACAGAGCATCTGCCTATTCATCTTTGTCATAAGACAATATTGAGGGGACCGATGTAGTATAGATGGATGTATCCCTTTGAGAGATACGTCTTTTATTTTTGAAGTGAAATATTGTCTTATTTTTTTAAAATGACTAAACTCTGCAAATTTATGAATAAAATAAAAAAAAATATTGTTAAGAATAAAGTTTTGAGAGTCTGATGTGTGAGACATACATATTATAAGAGACAATCACTTTCTTTTCTTATTACTTCGATCAAGGGCAACATAAGTATGAAACTGTTGGTCTGATGCCCTTGCAAACAAAATTATCGGTATTCGAAATATCTAACGAACCATTAGGCAGACATAGTACGCGCTACATAAAAGATGTAGAGCTTCAAGAAGCTACTTTGTATGTTTTACTGACCAACGATGGAGTACAACCTTTCTACAGTAAGATTAAACGTAATCAAATATTTTTTACATGATGCTTTACCATTCAGACATATAATTTACAATGATTTCTGCAGGTTAGTTACGAAGATTTTGAACGTAGATGATGACTCTCTTGTAAGCAAGAAAATCGAAAAAAGAATTTCCAAAATGTTTCAAATTACACGTACATTGAAATAACTTTTAAATTCACCAGTATGTTGTGTAATTATACTATACGATGTTAATTTACTTATGTCATGGTTGTTCTACTAGGTCTGTGATACAAGTAGTAGAGTCATATTCTAAGGTTTATTAGATCTTGCTTGGGGGTCTAATCATAGTGTGAAGACATGAAGTAGATTTGAAGTTATTGGCTACAAATTTCATATGAGCTACTAGTATGAAGGAAAACAAACTCATAACTATGGTGTTATGTTAGAGAAAACAACACACACAGATAACGAGATCAACTATTACAACATAATAAATGAAGTAGTTCAATTACAATATCCATGTTGAACATACTGTCTACATGTTCAACTGTGAGTAGTTTGATCACGTTCCTGATCGAGGAACTCAAACACTCGACCCGTATGATATTACCAAAGTTAAGATGAGTTGAACATATGCAAAGTATGACCCATTAATTCTGGCAAGTCAGGCGAGTCCGGTTTATTATGTTCGATATCTTAGATGAGCAAGGGATAAACTTGATTGGGCCATTGTATTGATCAATAGACCACAAATTTTTTGAGATGTTGAATGCTATCGAACCTATTCACAAAGAGTAAGTTGTGTTTAATTTTTGTGTTCAGCTTAGCTCAATCAATGAGGAATTACCCTTAGAGGATACATTGAGAATTTATGAAGACGTCCTTCCATATATGGATGGAAATGATGATGAAATTGACAAAAAAAATTAAGTTCTTCAACATCGAGATCATCGAAAGAGACATATTAAAAATGGTATGTATACTTAGATGATTACTTTTTTGCATCTTTTTGTCATTATTTTTGCTTCTTACACTGTAGTTGTCGTGCTTAATTTTCTTGATTTTATGCATGAACACGACATGTTTCACTTTTGTGCTTTTAATTTTCTATCTTATATTACATACTAACCATGTTTATTAACTCTATTTTTTTTTCTATTGTAGATGACAGGTTCTCAGCCTCCCGAGAGGCCCAACATTTAGAGTATTTTGGAGAACACGTATCAGACGCTGAAGATAGCTGTTATTTTCGCTGATAAGTATGACACTCATGCGACCACTCTGATGATCCCTTTTATTGCTCCTCTTCCTGCTTCGGGTCCCTCGCAGGCACCACGTCTCACTCTAGCTTATTTCGGTCCACCATCCTCATCCGATGAGCCAGGTCCCATGAGTCCAACACCTGAGATGGCTTACACTGCCAACAAAGTCTATATTGAGTCGGAGGGTGATTCATAAGTCAACTTTCTTTTTTATAGTATAGTAATTTCAATTTTTCATTCAATTTTATACTATACCTAATGGATCATTTGCAGGTTCTACTACTCCAGTCTACACATGATGTGAATCATGGAGATCATTTGGAGCAAAAATAAACAGCCATATCTCTCATGGATATAGATTTTGATTGCCACTCGGGATATGTATTTTATGGAGTTCGTGGTATGATATCTAAATTTGAAATAGAAAGTTAATTTCTACCTTTTTTATATGCCAATCAAGCTTACATACTTCCACTTTGCAGAGACTGTTTTACAGGTTGCCGGAACATTACCAACAATCAATCTAATTTTTGGATTGATCTATTGATATTTTTTATTTTGATGCTTATTCTAAAATTAGTCAAATGTTGATGCACTTTTGATTAACTTTTCTTATTTGAATGGATGATTAAATTAAAATTATATGAAAGAGCATCTTGGGTTAAATTTGAAATTGAAAGAAGGATATTGCTCTTTAAAGAGTTATTTGGGATTAATTTTTTTTTTGTTTTTTTTATTTTTTAAACATAATTATTTAATGTATTTTTATTTTTTTATGTTAAAAAATAAATTAATATGTTTTTGAAAATACTCAAAATAAAGTTTAGGTGTGTTAAGTTTTTTTTAAAACAATCACATCATAATCAAATAAGCCAAACATTTTTTTATTTTAAATTAAATGTAAAAAAAATAAAATTTAATACAAAAACAATCTCAAATGACTAGCTACGCCCAGCTTTATTAAAAAAAAAAAGGTAAAATACAAAGAAAGAAATTACAACGAACACAAAATAAATAAACTACTAAGAAATAACGACAACAACACCTACAACACTAAAGCAACTACACACACTTAAGAATAACAAACACAACAATCTAACAAAGTAGAGCACATAAATAAGCGAAATTTCCCCAACATCAGCAAGCAAGCAAAGCAACAACCAATATAAAACTCCAAAATATTTGTAAGAACACCAACTAGGAAGTGAAGAGTCTTTATAAGTGTACAGTACCAGCTAAGCCAAACTCCACAAACAGCTATAAGATCATCTAAGTCACCTGAAAAGGATTCCCATCAAAGGATAAAACATATATCAACCAAAAGGAAATAAGAAACAAGAACAAAGCAGGAAAAAATGGAAGTTAAGAGATCAGCAACATAAAGAAATAAAGGTCTTGAAACAGATTGAGAAAAAGGAGAGGGAAGGACGAAATAAATGAGCTCAAACATCACACACCCAAAGTAATACATTAAACCTCTATCCATGAACAATGTATATAAATAAAAAAAATCAATATATACAAAAGAACAATTAAATTTTAATGCAAGGCAGACTATCATCATATCACAAAAGCCAAATCTCGACCAAAAACCAGATGCAGTATCTAATCTGACAGAAGACCAAGAAAAGAGATTATAAACTAGCTAAGAAACAAAAAAAAAAAAGGGAAGAAGACAATAAGTATGCAGTATCAGCCAAGCCAAACTCCCCAAACAATTACATGATCATCAAAGTCACCTGTAAATAAAGATAAACATGGGAAAGAAAGGAAACCCAACAAAGGAGAAAACAAATAATTAAAATAGATAAAGAAATGGAAGTAAGGGGGAAAAAAATAAAAGAGCTCAAACTTTACTTGCCCAAAGTAAAACTTTAACCTCCATTCAAGAACAAGGTATATAAATTAAAAAAAAAATCAATAAATGTAAAAAAAACAGTTAAGCTTTAAAGTAAGGTTGGCTATCATCATACTGCGAAAACCAAATCTTTAAGCAAAAACCATATGGGTGTATCAAATCTGTCATAAGATCTAAGTAAAGTAATCATCAATCAATCAAGACAAAAAAAAAAATGAAAAAGATTAAAATCCATATAGTATTTATCATAAAGAAAATCTCTAACCAAGAACAATAAATATATATTTAGAAACTAAATATACATAATTGAACGAGCGAGATTTCAAAAAGAAAAAAAAATGAAAACTCCCAAGCTAAACAGAGAAAAAAATAAAATAGAGCCCCAAAACCAAATCTAGCGAGCAAAATAATAATAAAAAAACAGAGAAAGTTGTTAAAAATTGTAGAAATTTCTGATAGAGTTGAGAATATAATTTTTAAATTTTTATTACCAACTCTTAATAATAACATCCAAAGAATATAACAAATATTAGATTCAAGAGATATATATTTATTTCTAGAAATCCTAGAATTCCTCTCATACCGAATAATTTCAAAATCATTTGAACACAAAACACGAATAGAATTAACATCCATCCCTCTTAAAGAGGTAATATCACGAGTTTTGAGGCCCTTTATAATAATTTTCCACATATAAAGAACATACTTCAAAGAAAGCTCTTTAAATCAAATCAAATTAAACCAATTAACAGAAGGATAAGAGTTAAAGAAAAATATTAAAAATTTATGAGAAAAAATAAAACTCTTATTTCAAGGACATATAAAGCCATTGGTAATATATATATATCTTACAAATAGCTTCAATACAAAAATCAAGACTATTAAAATTTTGGGGTAACTCCGACTGGTATAATGAATAATATCTTCAACTTTCATATTAAGAGGAAAATTAAACCTCATAAAAATAAAATCATCAAAATGGTCTTTAAGAGAAACCCCATCTAATACAACCTTTTTAACTAAGGACTAAGAAGCATTTGGTGAAACAAAAGGTTCCAATATAGCCTTTTTTTGTGGTATCTTGAACAAGGTTTGCTTTGGAGGGTTATGATCGCTCCAAAAAGCATGAGCTTAATCCTATCCATCCAAAGCAGCATACATGGCTCTGATGAGTACCGAGGTGATGGGAGAAGATCCCATTCTTTCAAAACCCTAACATTTCCCGTAAAACCCTCCCGAGTCGTTCCGACAGATCCCGTTTGTTTGGGCATTCGATTTGTTGGGTGACCGTAATTTAGGGTTTCCTTCTCTTCTTCTTCTTCTTCTTCTCTAGTTTTCCCTTTTTCTTTCTCTCTCTCCATAGCTTCCAGAAATGGAAACCGTCTGCAGCCACGAGAGCAACAGAGCTGCTCTTGATTTAGTTTTGATGCGTCTGATGGAATCTGCTGCGCTGGAAGTGATTTTGGATGCTGGGAAGTCTCTTTTTTGGCTTCTATGCGTGGTATCAGTTTCTGTCTTTCTTTTTTCTCTGGTTGTTTGGAGAATTTGCGCACTGTTTTGAAGTTAGATTAAAGTTGTAATCTTTTGATAAATCGAGGTTAGATGCATAGTTTTTGTGTTTAAATAAGTTTCTCTCTGCAAGTTGTCTCTTTTTTTTTTTTTGGTTGTCAATGAATTCTAGGATTCCCTGTTTATGGTAGCGTTAACTAACTTACGAAAATATAAAGATCAATATGAATGCGACGTGAGAAATTTAATGTTTCTTTTTCTTTACTGGTTTTGATTGTGGACCTGATGGATGTATCATTGCCTTCTAAAATGTATGGTTTAACTTTCTATTAATAGATGATAGGGCTTGTATTTAGGGTGTAAGATTTACATATTTTGATATTTTCTTATACATTTTTATGACTTCCTTTTCTTCATTTTAGTTATGGATCAAAAGATTGCCCATTTGACTTCTCATATGTTGTATCTTCACTTTTGTAGGCTTGAATCCTACCATATGTTTGGGTTGGAAAAAAAAAAATTCTAATGTTTTTACTTTGAGGTTCCACTTCTCCTGCCTATCTTGTTTACCAGTTACGGATTTTTTTCCCCTAATGCGTTTAATTTCACATAACTGTAGCAACATTGGTGCTCATTTTTAATATAGTGCAAAAACCTTGGGAACTATTGGTTGGATTCTTGGATAGTTGGGTTATGGAAAACTGATTGTATTCTCCCTTATTTCAAGCTGTAAATCTGGTATAGCCTGTAGTTTACTGCTTCTTGGGGTGCAAAATTGTCTCAAGTCAGTTTTTTGACCATTTTATTGTTGAAGGGGCATTGAAAATGCATTTTATACTAAAGCTCATGATGAATGTGCGTATACATTTGGCTCGCTGCAGTAAAGCAGCTGCAGATTTTACATTTTAGTACTGGTTAAAACATCTATGACAAGCTATTAACCACTTTCCAATTAGAAAATTAGAAATCTGGCTACTTTGACACTGAATGGCGTGCTATGGATTCCTGTAACTAGACAAGGTTTATTGCCTTGTTCTTGTAATAGAACATCTGGAAATCATGGTTTGCCACTTGAGTACTTCAAACTAATTTAAGATTGTCTTAATTGTACATATTTTTAGTGTTCATCTCATGAATAGATTTTAAGATAGTAGCATGTGTTCTCTTTGATTTTGTTATGTTTCTGCCTTTTCTATTAAATATGTTTAAACTTGCTTAAAATTTTCCTATTTTATTCCTTATATGTATATTTTTTAAAATCCAATTGTTCTCAATGTAGGATATCAGAAAGTTTTGTACTCATTTGTAATTCTCCATGTAATGGATTGTGTATCATGATTATTTTTCATTCAGAACATGAAATTACTTAATTACTTCGAAAGCTGTCTATAAATGTTATTAAACACATAAAAATTTGTTTAATTTTTAACCTAGTAGTATTTATATAATAGAATTTTTTTTGTTATTAGGTATTCTGAAATGTACTTGCTTAAGTTTAAGGCATATCTAAAGCTCGAGTTACTTTCTAACCTATGATCATACTGGGCAACTTTGTAGTGTTGTGCTGTTTTAGATAAACATTGGGGGCATTCAATTCTATGAATGCCAGATTGAAAAGCAGTTGTTTTTGTTTTCAAACCGAGCCTCTTAATTGAAATGTGATAATGTTAATTATTGGAATGATGAAGATTGGGGTGAATTGTCTAAAATCCTTTTTTTTAAATAATTGTTTAGGTAAAATATATATTTTTATATAATTTTTAGTCCGTGAAAGAGAAGTTAAGCAAGCTCATTCTTTTTGAGCTGCTGTTTATGTAAATAACAACTCTTCTATTGGATTGCTCCAGAACTTTGTCTTTGATTTCTTCACATGTCACTTATAAGAATTTCAAAACAGAAAAAAAAAAAAAACTAAAGCAAAAAATGTAAAATTAAATGCAATTAGTTATTTATATTTTTGGGTAATTACTTTGTTTGCTACATTAATTTTCCTACTATGTTCAGCTTGGTTTTTTGGTTTTGCAATCCCTTGATAGGTCCTTTAGCTTTTCTATCCATGTAGATATGAAGGCTGGCTTCTGTTAATGGCGAATGTACTTTATGTCTTAAGGATTTTTTTACTAGTGATGTATGGCTGGCTTGTGGCCCATAGCCGGTAGTTTTTTATGAAAGTACAAATTTAAAATTATGATGAAATTTTTACATTGAAATAATATTCTAGAAAACATGTTTTGAAAACCAAATTGACATAACAACAGAGAACATAAGGGTGTTCAACTTGCATGGAACTTTAAGCGTTACAAGGCATATAAAATCCAGATTAATGGAATTGATAAACTACATAACTAGTTAAAAAAATAAAATGAATGCAAGCTGAGCTTTCTAAACTTATGTGAAACCTCTTTTTTAATGATTTCAATTACTTTTGCGAGCACATGATAGAAATCATAAAGAATTGAACCAAAAAATATTTTTCATGCTTTTAAAAAATGTACAATATTGGAGGTAGATTTAAAGAAAAGGAATAATGGTTATTGAAGGAGAAAGAACTACTAAAATGCCACTTGCAAGAAAATCATCAACTTAGGATATGTTTGGGGGGGCTGCAACTGTTTGAAGAAGTTGTGAAGTTGCTGCATAAGAAGCTGCTGTTCAAAAACCTGTGGTGGTTATTACAAATCTTTTTTCTTAAAAAGTCAGACAACAGGTTTCTAGCAGCCACCGGGGCAAAATATAGCTTTTTGAAAACGCAGGCAAAATGCAGTTTTGCTAAATAGGAAAAACCATGGTGTGATGAAACAGACACCTTATTGCGTGCCCCAAACACATCGTTAGAAAAGTAAAAATAAATATATGATTAGATAACCAAACCAACTTCATGGAGGAAACGATTTTCCTTGATTTTCTTAAAAAATATTGCCGCCTCCAAAAGACCTAAGCAACTTGAAAAAAACCTATAACATTAAAAGTTCTCATATAAAATGAAGCGCTGAGATCTTGCTCTCTTGTAAATTGAGCAGCATTTTGTAATTATAAACTGTTATCATTGTTTTTCATTTCCCGAAATCGATTGGTGAAGTAAATAGATGGTAATGTAATGCCTTGCAGGCTTTATTTTTCCCTATTTATAAATATAGATAGCGCAACATTTAAAGAAATACATTAATCGTATGTAGTTATTGTCATTTGAGCTAACTGATATTATGATCTTTACTAGGGATTTCTTTTGTTATTGGTTCTAAGAATTCTACATTTCACACTTTTGATTTAATATGAATTGTGATATATTGCTTGAACAACTACACCATGGTTTCACATTAAGTAATTGCGGAGAAGCTCAATGGCCTCTGTGGGTGTAGCGAGGACTTGTTTTGCACAGCAAAATGAAGGTTTAATAGCTTGTTCATCTTAACCATAAACATGAACAGGGAATCCATTAGTAAAATGTTAATGAAATAAAGTGGAGAGAGGGGATTGCGAGCCTGCAAGAAAATTATTTACTGTAGAACTATTTCTTGGAGTCATTGATCTCTAAATGAGTAAATGGGTGAATATTTTATTTTTTATATTGTTTTCATGATTGTTGAAACCTACTATTTTATTGTCCATTGCGTCTGTCTAGTTTTGCTTCTTTTTTTTTTTGGTTTGGTTTGGTTTTGTTCAGCTTTGTTTAGCAACACCTTTTTCCTCTCAATTACATAATGTTGCATGTATTTCAATTGAATTATGTTGTTAATTATTCTAAACTTTATCAATAAGCTTAGTTTTTTTCTTGATGCAGATTGGATCTGCACCTAGTGGAACAGATTTTTTAACTGAAAACTGTGAGATAATTAAACAGTAAGCTTTTCCGATGCCAAATTATATTGTTGAGAGGTAAATCAACGTTCCTATGCTCGTCTGATACTTTTATTCTGTTTCTCTGCTTTGTAGGTTTCTTCTATCATCTCTAAGGATGACCAGAGGTGAATCCATGCCCGAGAACAAGGATGATGGCGGCTCTGACGAGGATGATGATGAGGAGGATGAGGATGATGATGATGATGGAGGCGAGCAAGATGATGATAAAGGCGAAGAAGATTACTCGGGGGATGAAGGGAACGAAGAGGATGATGAAGAGGATGAGCTTGAGGCAAATGGTGGAGGTGCTGGAGGTGGAAGCGATGATGATGATGATGATGAGGAGGAGGAGGATGATGATGAGGATGATGATGAGGATGGGGAAGATGAGGACGAGGATGAAGAGGATGAAGAAGACCAACCACCTCCTAAGAGGAGGAAGTGATCTGTTGTTCATGTTAAATGTTTTCATTGTCATTGGTTTTCCCAATGTGCAAGGATTGTGTCATTGTGGTTGATTTTAAATTAAGTTTTTTATTTTTTTTTTGGGTATTTCCTTAGATTAAGAAAAGAGATTGGCATTTTGGGAGATCCTTTTATTATCTATCTGACTTTGCTTTCATTATCTGACTCTTTTTTTTTTTATTTTTTGGGTAGTTTTTGCCCTTTTTTCAAGTTTATCTTGATGAATTTATAGTACTGTTGGGTGATGCATGCATGTGACTTGTTAGAATATAAGTAAATGTGTTCTATTTTAGCTGCGCTTACATACATTTCACATAATTCTTAATTATTTATCTATTTAATTTTGAAATTTATATATATATTTATATATTTTTTACATTTTTTATGATTTTTTTTTATTTTTATATTTGAGTAAATAAAATACAAATTTTAAATCACATAAAAAATGTTATTATTATTAAATTTTAAAAGTGAAATATATACATAAGTTTATGGCAACATAGGGTTATTAATGTAAGTATCAAACATTATATATTTGATATGTAAATACATGAGAATTATGTGGCAAGTCTGTACATTTTATTTTATTTTAGTATATGATATTTTTTTATGAGGACTTTGATTGGAATGTACAAAATTATCACATGTAAGATATTTACTTAAAAGAGGTTTGTTAAGCATATAACTTTTAATGTATGCATCTATAAATAACCCAAAATTAAGAGCTTATTCTCTTGCAGTAAATTGAGGCATTTACATGCATGCAACACAATTCACTATTTATTTATATATCTGACAGTCGATATTATATATATATATATATATAACATTTAAATATTTAATATTACATAAAAAATATAACTATTAGTTTGTCATAAAATAATTATCTATAGGGGTGAATCTACATGTATTTTGAGCAAGAAGCATATCAAATTCAAATTATCCAAGATCCTATTTCAAGAAGTTTATAATTACACTGATTGTCTCGAGAATACGGCCCAATAACACTAAAAGTAATCATATCTAAGGCTAATTAAGTCCCGACCAAACACATACAATGTTATCAAATAATCAATCAGAAGGCTAAATAATTTCTAAACTTATTTCATTTTTATAGTCAAATTGAGTGTCTCGACGAGAGAAATCCAATGAGCCTGAAATCATTTAATTTTAAGATCATGTGGTTTTCTTTTCCAAGTTTTTTTCTCATAAAAAATATAGTTCTCTTATATCTCTATCTGTGTGTGGAGTAAAATTATATTGAATTAAGACATAAGATTTCTCTACTGCTGAGAAATTTCTAATACGCAGCAATTTGGCGCGGTCTATAAGAAAAAAAAATCTTACATTTGTAGAAGTATGAATAAAATGACTAATAAGTGTAATGCTCCAACAATACAATATCCTATTCCAATGCTCACCATTATAGGAAATAATCTAAAATTCAAGGACGCCAAGCCTCTACTTTGTTCTCATGACATACATCATCTTATTGGTGAACGTGTCTCTTTTTTGTCCCTTGAAGGCCGCATGCATAAAATAGAGGAAAATGAGATTCTTTAGTTTATACATGAAGATTGAGAACAAGTTTTAGTGCACATAGATATTTTTTTTTGACCCAATAAATAAATACCAATCAGAGATGCTAATTAGAGAATGCTCCTCCAACCTCCCCTCCTCATCTGGAGTTCATCCACAACTAGGCCAAGAAGCTAATCTCTTAGACATTGCTAGTTCTACACATTCGTACAACTAATGCATGCCATTAACACTCAAATTCACAAATATACATTGTTGACACATGTGACTATTTATTATGCTATTACATGCTATGAATTATTACATTTTATAATACTCCTAAAAGGCGCACCCTAAGAGATATGCTCCATGGAAACTAATAATGGATATAATCATCACTCAAAAGACTCTTTGAGAGCAAGTGACGCACAAAGTTTCTAATCATACTCCTGAAAGGCACGCCCATAAGAAGTTGAGCGTTAATCTTGACAATAATGAAGAGCATTGATGTTTACAAGAGTCATATGAAATTAAAGAAAATATAAAATAATAAAGAACTTCAAAAAAACATAGGAAATTAAAGAAAATGATCAAAATATAAAATAAAATGTGTTGGATTCAGGAAACTAAGAATAGTTAATGAAATAAAATCAGAATATATTAACATCAAATAAATTTTAAATAATTTCTAAACCATTAAAGCAACGATAATTCATAAAATTCAAAATAAAAAAATCAAAATAAAATGAAATCATATCTGATTGAACTTCTTGGCCATGTGAACTCTGTGATTTTCTCATGAGTAGAAAAGATATTTTAGTTACTTAAATAAATTTTCTTTGTAATTTTATATTTATTGAAATAAATAATTCTAAAAAATTGAAATATATTTTTGAAAATTATGAGATAACATTTGAAATATTAGTTGACCAATGGGTGATCATTTTAGTTGACCAATGGATACAATTTTAACTTTAACTTCATTGAAAATAAAATTCAAATGGTTATAGATTTGGTTTTCATAAATAAGAAAATAGTTGCATCAATGTAACATGTTGGTGATGCAAACAAACAACTTAGAAGGTCATACATGATTCATACTCATAAAAAATAAAGCTCACCCTATAATGCAATTATCACAGTAATTGAAGGTGAACAGAATCCAGCTAAAGATCAGTGAAGACCAAACAAATATCACATTTTCATATATATACCAACACAAGAAAAACAATTATGTTAATCTCTCTATGATGCAACAGAGTTCTTATTTATTTTAGAACACATACAAAGAGACAGAGGGATTTAGCAGTGTTAAAAGTTAAGATGAGCCAGATTAAAAGTTTTTTGGACAGCCTCATGCCAAGCTTCCAACTTCTTCTCGCGTTGCTCTTCGTCTAATTTGGGCAAGAAATTGATAATTTCCTCACCATTTCTGCCTGAGAAGATTTGCTCTTCAGTCCAAACTCCAACGGCTAAGCCAGCTGCATATGCTGCACCAAGGGCACTTATCTCTGGATCTAGAGGCCTCACAACCGGACGCCCCAAGAGATCAGCCTGCATTTATTTTGATACAAATCATATCATAATCATAAATAGCCTTGATGGATGGGTAACTTCATGAATCATATGAACATGTTCAATAACTAAGCATGGAGGGCTGAGTTAGAGTTATCTCTTAGATTGCTTGACAGAGTTCAATTATAGGTTGTTTGAAGTTTTTGGCATCTTCAAGGTTGGGAAGTTCCAAGTTATACAGTTTAAGCTGGTATATAGATAAGTATTTGAGACCAGACACATATAACCATGCTCCAGCTTCAAATCGAGTCGTAATTTGTGTTGTTAATTTTTTTGGTAGGAATGTTTGTTCATGCACATTCACTTTGAGTGATTTAATTATTTTATGCTTATGAAATTTTGATATGAGTGGCTTTAAACTTAGAGACAAAATGCGAAATGAATATATCCGTGATAGAGTTGGTGTAGCTCCGGTGAAGGATAAAATTAGAGAAAGTCGTCTTAGATAGTTTGGTCACACTAGGCGTCGACCATCTGATGATCCGATTAGAAGAGTAGATGTTTTAGATTCGACTTATTTTAAGAAAGGTAGAGGTAGACCTAGGAAAACTCGGGCTTATTGTATAAAAAAATGGTCTTAATTTATTAGAACTAAATGAAAGTATGATACTAAATAGGACGCAATGGAGAAAACTGATTTATGTAGCCGACCCCACATAGTGGGATTAAGGCTTTGTTGTTGTTATTGTATGCTTATGAAATTTTGAACTGTGGATATTTTAGTCATTTATATCAAAGCATCACAATCAGCAGGGAAACAAAACATGTAATAAATTATTCGAAATTTCAAGCAACATGTACACGACAAGCTATGCAAACAATATCATAATAAAGCTTCAGCCACAACAGCTTTTGAACTTTTTTCTCCAAGTCTCAATTAGCTTTCCCAACTACCACCAAACCAACATAACCTTACTTGTGAGTTCTGTTGAAGCAACACATAAATGAAAAAATAGACAATAAATCAATAAACAATTTTAAGGTGAGGTCTAAAACTTAGTATTAAATTGATCAATTAACCATTTCAACATGGAAATGATTTGCACATAACCAGGATTCGTTTAGAATAAAGCAGTTGTCTGTAAAACTGAAAAACTTCTGTGATAAAAGTACAGTTTTTAAAGGCTACTGTTGATGTCACAGAACTTTCCCTTCACAAAAAATAAGAAAGCTGATTTCTCGCAACCATCACGGTTTAGTATATTGGTTATGAAGAACTTATTCTCACCATGAAATTATGCAATAGCAAGACATAAAATTATATAATATCAAAGAATGAAAGAAAACATATAATATCAAAGAAGTCGAACGTGCCCAACAGAACCAGCAAAATGCATCCATATGGCAGCAAGGACATAAAAGTAAACAAAACTAAAGAAATAAAAAGGG